GTTCCTCGCGACTTCCCTCCCTCCCTCTCGGTTTCTATTTTAGAACTTTGTTTCCTTTTTCGCTTCTTACTCTCGGTTTTTTTTATTTTTATTTTTTTTTTTTTTATTTTTCAGTCTCTCCAATGGGAATTGAATTCGAGGGGCGGGATCGGGAAACGGACGAAGAATTAAATTCGGAGCGCTGTTAATTAGGGGAATTGTTTAATAAAGGATTGCTGCATCGTTCACGAAGGAGAGTTAATTTATCGGTGGTCGATTCATCGGTGAAGAAGAAAATTAGGATGTTTTAGCTTTAATAACGCCATTGTAGTCGACGCGTGACACGGCCAGATTCTTCTCTACACGATGACGTAAAACTATTCAGATACTTTACGTAATCCGTTGAATAACGGCGTGTATCCTTCCATCGACGCGCGCGCAAACAACCTTCGTAGATAAAGGGTAACCATATAACGGAGCGTAGCATGTATAATGTGTCGTCTAGTATCTGCCAATGCACATATCATCTAATAGAATTTTTCACCCCCCTTCCCGCCTCCCTCGACCTCTATTATTTTTTTTTCTTGCGCCGACTGACCTACTCGCCCGAAACCTGTGTAATTTCACCTACATCCGTTTCTGCGTGTAATACACGTATCTCCTCGCGTTCACCTACGTGGTGAATTGCGTGAGTGTGCGAAGGAACGAAGGAGAAGGAGACAGAAGGAACTATGACGAGCACGAGTACGTACAATACACGTACTTACGTCACACGCATATCGTACGCGCACACAGGTCCGTTCAACCGGCTGAGAATTCTCTTCGTAAGCCCCGTTACGTAACCTCACGATAGTGAATTACGTATGGGCTACCTACTCGCCACTCTGTCTCTCCCCCTCCCCCTTCTCTCTTTCGATTTCTTTTTCTCGAGATCTCGACTCTGTCCCGCGGAGAAAGTACATTAGCCGTGCTGCTGGACCGTGATCACTCTCGCCCGAGCAGCCATGTTGGAATGCTTTCACCGTTTCTCTGTTCCTCCGAGCCGCTGCATCCGCCGCTTCGGGGCACTGACCTGCCTCAACGAGCGTAACTACGAGGTGGGTCGAGAACCGTGGCTCACCCGGTTTCGCCTCCCGATCGAGGTTGTTCCGCTCGTTGCATTCCGAATTCCCGTAGGGATTTCGAGCGACCTGTTCGCCTGTCAAGCGAACTGTTCGAGTAGAACACGACTCTAGCAGCCCATTTCAATCGGCTAGAAGTCGCAGAAATCAGTCACGATGTTTTGGCTCATACAATAACTTCCTCTAGTTAATTCAGTTGTTTCGTTAGGGTGATTTCTTGAATAGATACGCGACCTGTAGTGGGTCTTTTTGTCAGACAGATATTTTGGAGATATTCGAAGTTTTGAGTTCTGAACTTCAGTACTAGCAGCGGAGTTTTCTAATGTCGGGGAACAAGTAGTTTGTGCAATTGAAGTACATGCGAATTGTATTCGAATCCATTTCGTTCGTATAAACGGAACGTTTTACTTGGTAGAAAGCTTAGTATAAATTCTGTTACAAACGTGTAGACGATTGATGCAGAATAAACTGACAGCCATCAGCCTTACGTAAGCGCTGGAACTCATTCTTCAATACACCGATTCTTGATCCCAACGGACAAAATCCCTGATCAACTTCTCATTCATCCAATTACCAGCATTGGGTCCTATCACGCGTAATCGATCAATCTTCTCGTAATTCTCCATATCCAGCAAATATAGGGCAAACAAATAGGTTCGCATTCGTGGAAGCACGATGTTCCATCGGTGATTCAGGGTTAGCGAATCGGGAGCAGTCGGTGAGCAGCTTGGCGAGTGCATCTGTACGAAAGCAAGAAGATTTCTCGCCGGATAAGCTAACGCAAAGAGGGAGAAAAAAAGCTCGTTTCGACACCACCGACAGCCGCGCGAACTCCATCGGGCATTTTTTAATTGCGCTGGTGCTGACGACTAGCTAACCTCAAAAGCAAGACACACGGGCAATGGCCTGGCCTCCTCCTGGTCCCCAGTGACCTCGATTGATGCGCTGTGTCCTCTCCTAGTCCATGATTACCCCTCTTCCCTACCTCTCCCGGTCTCTCTGCCGCCCTCTCTTCCCTCTTGGTGGCTAGAGGAGCGTTGACTCGACATCGCCCAATCAGGGGCCGGTTCGTCGACTCTCTGAGCTGCTCTCGGGGTCGTTCTAATCTCGCAGCGTACCTACGCCACAAGCCAAACCGACGAGAAGCCCGATAAGAGTATACGATCCTCCCCTCTTCCTCTAATCTCTCTCTCGCGGCTCTCCTCTTTTTCTTTCGTCTCTTTATTTCTCGCGGCTCTTGCAGTTCATGCTGCGTGCGGACCCGCGGAGCGCGCGCCCCGCTATCTTCGTCCGCGCGAACGTCGCCCGTCTCCTTCCCTCCCGAGAGAACGTACACGCCAGCACCGCCAAGGTGAACAACCTCGAACCGTGTCGGGGCTCTTATCGCTCCGCGAGCTTGGACCCTTATCGACGCGGAGCGCGCGCGCGCTTTTTCTACCGAAGTTCGCTGAACCGATCGCGCGAATTTACTTACTCCATCCAGCTGCAATTCGACAAAGATTCGCGAAAGTACTCGACGAGTTTCTCAAACTCGATCTCCTCGGATAATTGTGTTATATCCTTTGCGAATAAGTCATTTCTGACTTTGATTCGCACGTCACGAATTTAGAACCACGGAGGTTGCTTTTTGTGTCGCGCAGGAGGTTACTGACTGAAAGGATTTTGCTTCTTAGCACATTAGAATGTCAACGTATCCGCACGCGTAAAAGTCGTGCACTGCGAAATCCGTACCAATAAAAGATCCTTTCGAACTTTCGCAAATCGCCCAATCCATCTACGTTTCCACTGTACGAAGCGACCTTCGATCCCTCGAATACACGAACCCAATCAGCGATTCTCGCAACAGATTCTCGCTATTCCGTTCTAATTCGCGGGTTTCGAAAATTCCGCCGGCTTGCAACAGTCGGCGCGTGTCCTTCGCCCGCTTCGCCATTCGCTAGAAACTTTCCAACGCGAAAGGACACCACCCGAGATGCATAATTTCGTTTCGCACGGCGGCTCGTAATTCGCGCTTTCACCATACGTTGCCGTATGCTGGATGAACGAGCACGACCGATGGAAGTGTCCACGTCACAGGAGAAAACGTAACAGAGAGTGGCGAATGGTCAACGAGTGCATTGTGTCCGGCCCTCTCCTCTCCTTTCTTTTTTTTT